CTCTGACAACGTCCCTGTATTCCTCCCAAGTGGCCTGTCCCCTTTTCCACATTCTGTACACTTCCTTCTTCTGCTGGAGTTTGGCCAGGAGTTCCTTGCTCATCCATGCAGGTCTCCTGCCCGCTTTGCTGGACTTCTTCCTCAGAGGGATGCACTGCTCTTGAGCCTGGAGGAGGTGATGCTTGAATATTGACCAGCTTTCTTGGACCCCTCTTCCTTCTAGGGCCCTACCCCATGAGATTCCTCCGAGCAGGTCCCTGAAGAGGCCCAAGTTAGCTCTCCTGAAGTCCAGCGTTGCAATCCTGCTCATTGCCCTGCTCCCTCCTCGTAGGATCCTCAACTCCACCATGTCATGGTCACTGCAGCCAAGGCTGCCCCCAACCTTCACATCTCCAACTAGACCTTCTTTGTTCGTTAGGACAAGGTCTAGCATTGCACCTCTCCTCGTTGGCGTCTCCACCACCTGAGTCAAGAAATTATCATCAGTCCTCTGCAGGAACCTTCTTGACTGTTTGTGCCTAGCTGTGCTGTCTTCCCAGCAGATATCAGGGTGGTTGAAGTCTCCCATGAGACATAATTAGAGGCATAATGAGCGATGTGTTAAACTAGGACACACAAAATGACTTATGCTGATGCCCGTGCAATGTGACACCCATGAAGTAGCTCCTTTTAGCTCTTGTGCAGAGTAACATCGAAAGGGGTGTAGCTGGGAACCGGAGAGGATGGCCTGCAAAAACCATAGGGGACCATAATCGGCAAATTAAGCCTAGCTATACCAAATCTACCTCCAGGTATGGGATAGGCTATCCAGATGACTTGTTAGACTTTCAATAGAGAGGGGCTTTCTTATGAAATGAGCCTGGAATTACTTGTGCTGCTATGGACAGTTGGTTTAAAAACAAAAAATCAGTAATTGTTTATAAAGGGTTATTTTTTTCACAGTTAAACAGCCTTGTTTGCCTTGATAGCAAGCATGTATATGTGGAAATATAAGAAAAACACATATGTTACTTTCATTTGGCCAATTTTGTCTAATAATGGTATTAATAAATGCTGTTTTATTGGCTCCTATATTGAAAGTTTAAACAAGGGATTAACAAGATTTAGCCATCTTGTAGCACTTGAAAAACCTCATTTAATAATACTCTATTTGAGACTGGTTAGGGTTAGATGACAAAATTCTCACTGGTTCTGCAGGCGTGGCTCATCCTGTGACATACCCTGTCCTTGGAGTGCAGGGGCCGAGAAAGTATTCTGCTTTCTCCCAACAGACAGGAGCAGAGACTCTTGTGGTAATTGCTCTGAAGCCCAGTTAACATGAAAGAGGAGTAAACCATACTTTAAAAAAAAAAAAAAAAAAGACTGAAGTTTAAGATAAGAAGTATTGGGGACAGCAGATGGGAAATCTGTTTGACTCTCTTGTTCATATTCATGAACTTTCCTGAGAGTGGATGAGCCTGTAAGCTCTAGGGAATGGTGCCCTTCATAATGCAGACTGAACCCAGAAAGCCAGAGTGCGACAGACTGTCCTCTGCTAGCTGGCAAAACTTTGAATCCAGCTAGCAAAATGTTTTTCTCATCTAGGGAGTGACCCACAGTGAATAATAATTTTCTGCTTCTGCCTGTCAGTAGACTAATGGATAGATGTCTTTCTGCAAGTGAAAAGTTGTTGTTTCTGATCTCTGATGAGGGAGGGCAAAAAGGGGAGAAAAAATTACATGGGGTAATTCATGTTTTCACATAGCTTTTGGTGGGGGGAAAAGACAAGCACAGTGCCGAATAACTATACAGCTTAAAAAATAGCTGCTGGAAAATTGGAAATTGCTAGAATGAAGGTTTCACGTACAATATTAATGCATCTTCACCTTTCTAGATGCTCTGCTAGATAACTGCATTTTTCTTCCACGAGAACCCTTTCCAAATAAGAATGAATATTTTCTAATTTAAAAAAAAAATTACCATGCTGTTATTAAACATAGATTGTTTAGATCCACGCAATAGGAGTGCCTAGTGGTTTATATGGAACAGTTGTTAATGATTCAACTAAAGATGACCTCTTCTTTTGTCTCAAAAAAAGGGGTGGGGGGAGGAGAGGTGCTGTATTTGGGAAAGAATTAAAGGAAAACACTGCTGATCTCCCCGGAGAAAAATGCAACCTGCTGGTGAAGTAAACGAGTCTAGGCAATTTAACTACAGTCTTGACTTTAGAAAAAATAAAATAGCAACCTATGAATTGCTTGGCAGAACAAATACATGAGAGTCCCTGTTGAATACTTTGGATGTCTGAATTGTTTTCAATTTCTTTTCTGTGAGAAGGGAGCTGTTTTTTAGCTGGTTCTAAGTACAGATTATAAGTTAAGCGAAAATGGATTGTTGTACTGCTTTGCCATTGGTACCTCATGGAATTTTGTATCTCATGGCTTTTGGCGCATTTCAGGTTTTGCTTTTTATAGTGATGCTTGAGTAGATTTGATAATTCAGAATTTGAGTGTAAGTAGTTTTATTCTAAAATGTTTGATTTCTTTAGCTGCTAACGAAGAAAAGCACTCCTCCGTTTTGAGGCAGACAGAGAAATAGGACTATTTTGGAGTCTCCCTCTGACATTGGTCCTGTCTAATGTGGCCAGCTGCTTAGGGAGGATTCATACTATACAAGTGTCTTTGTAGCTAGCCTCTAATAAATGAGGTATGATTGGGTAGTTAACCCGGAAAACTATCCTCCTTTTTGCTTGCCAGCTGCCTTTATATGTTGTAATGTTAATTGGTAAACTACTCTAGTGAAGAGAGGCTTGTCTGAGTCTTTGTGGAAATGTTTGCAGGCTTGACTGTGTTTAATTCATCTCTTCAGTTAAGGGGTAGTATTTTCCTTTTACCTTTGTGAAAAGCATGGGTTTCAGAGTCATAGTTATTCCTAAAGATTTTTTTTTTTTAAAAATTCATGAAACCAGAAACTTATACCATAAGAACATCCCAGAGAAAGGGAAATGTAATTTTTAGTGTATTGTAGGTTGCAAAATTGTGACAAACTTTTTAACCTTAATCCAGTTTGCCTTTCATATGCTATATGTATTCTTGTAACAAAATGCTATTTAGCAGAAAGTAATACGCATTAACGCAAAACTGTTTGTTTAGCGATTTGGAGGAGACAAAAAGCTTCACTGTCATGAAAATTGTGTGATAAATATAGAAATATGAATTATAGGGATACTATAAATGTGTGACGGACTTATTAGTTATTATAAAAGCTTTTCCTAGCATTGAATTTCTAGTGTATAATAAGTGTTTAGGTTCTTTTCTGATTTAAATTAAGGTAAAGGCCTATGCGTAACCTAAATGTAAGTTGAAGTGGTTTAGCTGTGACTGCATTAAGCTGGTAACATTTGGAGCATGAAAGCCCCTCTGTAGGCATGTATGCTGTTCTCTGCAAGTTATTAATTTTAGAGTTTGTTCTTTTATAAAAGTTACTTTTATTACTCTACATATTTGGGTGTAATGAGGCCTTCATGTTGGTGTGGGCTTCTCTGAGAAGTATTGACGAGTCTTTAGTGAATTATAACAACTTCTGTTAAATGTGATTTTTGTTTTATAGGTTATTCAGCAATAGTTATGAACTCCCGCTTACGAGCCTTAGGTGGAAGGATAAATAATATACGAGCATCAGAACTACCAAAAGAGAAAACTCGATCAGAGATAATCTGTAATGTCCACTTTTTGGATGGCTCGGTACAAAGCTTCAAAGTCAATGTAAGTTCTGAAAACCTTTTTTCTTTTTTTCTTTTTTAAACGTATAAATTTGTTTGAAAGCTGACGATATGTGGGATCCTGAGGCATGGGTTTCCCGTAAGATATTGAAGATATAGCTTTGCCATTACAAATTGCAGAATTATTGGTTATGAAGTGAGTTTGTTAAGTGATGTTTAAATTTTCTCTAATGTCAACTGACTGAGGTGACATAAAGTCATGCCATGCAGGTTGTGGCTGGAGAAGGGTCTCCTAGGGGATATGGGAACCAGACAGAGGTCGGATCTGATGATCGTTATCAGCTATGAATAAGCAGTTCATATTTAAAAGGGACTTCCAAATTCAGGTGTACCCCTTCTTTCTTCTCATCAAAGGATTGGTAAGGCTGAAAGGAGCAGGCCTTGTAAATTACTGTAGCAATGTCAATACATACTTTCTCAAATGCAAAGATGATGCAGATAATGCAGATGCCATGGCTTAAAGGGGATGGGTCTATCGATCAGTCTTTTATACTTAAATGTAGAGTAAGTTGGAAACTTTGGACTGGCTTGTACCATAGTGTGTATATGTTGTTGTGTGTGTGGTTGTTTTGTTTTGTTTTTCTCTCTCCCTAGAATACCTGTATTGGTAGAAGCCCTGGTGTAATGTAAATAGCTTTTTTCTTAATCTTCAGTTCTGATTAAAAGCATTAGTTACTTTTCTTTTTAGATGAAAAGAAAGGAAGTATTTTCTCAATCAGTTTTCAGTGTAGTTGTCTGACTGTGCAGGAAATCTGACTGTGAATGAATTTAGGTATACTAGTGTGTATTTGTGTATGTGATACTTCCTTTATCCAGTTTACCCAGTTTGAGAATTAAGAGTTTTTCTGAGAAAGCTTTGTTAGGTATCTGAAGAAAAGCTGAGAACGCTCCTGTATCCACTTCTAGGTTGTAGAAAACTTTCCAGTAGGAGATTCAAAGCTTCACCTGAAAACTTGGCTTTGCTAAGTATTATTACAGTTCTCCTTTACTGACTGGTTTTGTTATTTCTGAACTTCCTCTTGGATATTTGTTGAGAGAAATTTTATTTGCTAGGCAAACATATGTTAGTCCACTAATTATTTTCAGTCTAATATATATAGAATTACAATATAATATTTTAGTGTGTATGTTTATGCATATTTAAAAATACTGAATGAAATGAAGCTGCTGCTTACCCAAGTAATTTCACATTCTGTCAAAGCAGTAAATATTACAGACTCTTATGTGTCCCTTTTTGAAACCCGTTATGATAGAGATAGGATAGGTTTTCCTGCTTTTAGGCGCACTTAAATCAGTTGTTAGCTATTATTTCCCTTGAAAAAGAATTTTTCCATTGGGTAATATCTTCATTACTGACTTATATTAGCAGATCCACAGCTTTGCAAGTTGTTCGTTTTAACCTGTATATTGCTATGAAAGAGCATTCAAGGGACATAGCTATGCTGCTGCAGCTATGTGATCTGGATTACTTCTGGTTCTAAGAGGGTTTTTTTTAATGAATGTGGTGTTATACATCTCATCTAAATTGAAATGCTTTCTTCCTCCTCGTTTCCTGGTGCGTTAAAGGATCTTGTGTTTATGAAGTAGCTAAAAATCAGGGTTGGGGGAGAGGAGGATAACAGGAGGGTAGGTATGTAGGAGAAAGAGCAGCATCTTACTATAAAAATTCTGTCATCCTTCTCCAATATGCCCTATAGGATTGCCCTATCTGCCAATTTTGAATAAATCTAGCAAAGCTACCCCGATCTTTGAAAGATGAGGAATTAAAACAGGCTAAAATCCATTTGAAGTAGTATATTCTTCCTTGTAAGCAAAGTCAAGTGCTGATGCAGCTTTTAGTTCAGCTCCGGGCCTGAAATCCAGCACTTTGCAACTAAGCTTTGTGCTCCTCACGTCAGGCCCATTTCATCTTTTAAGCAGTGAGAGCTAAGTAATAAACTAGCGTCGTTATAAAATTCTGGAGCCAGCTACTGCCTTCAGTGTCCTCTCAGAGCATCCTTGCCAGTTACCCCTTTGAGCCAGGGGTTGGAAGGGTCTCCTGAACTGGAACTAATGCTGAACTTTGTAAATGTTGATCAGGACACATTGCTGTTCCACAATGTTAAAGGGCAATAAAGAGGTTTCTGGAGGTTGTGTGTTGTAGGCTACTGAGCTTTCATACCAATGCTGAGGGAGCCTGCCCTCTTCTGTCAGGACTGCCCTTCCTGATTATCAAACCTTGGTTTCTACCTAAAAACAAGCTTTACCGTGCTCAACTTGTGTCACAGTTTCCAGTTGTGAAAGAGATTTGAAGCCAGCTGCTAAAAATTTGTATTTAAAAGTTCTGCTTTTGTCAACAGAAGAATTAAGCTTAATGAAGTTTGGGCTTGAAAGTTTGTGTAGCTTTTTTTGGTGTTTGTTTATTTTCTTATTTATTTTGACAGCCAACACCATTCTGTGTTAGATCTGTGGTCAGTTTGGGAACCAGCTAGACATTTATTGGAAGAATACTCTGAGCAGGCTTTCTCCACAAGTCAAGTTCTTCTGTGTCACTTGAGAGAAAGCATTTCCATATCAGGACATGGATTTATAGACCTAACTTTGCTCCATTCTTTATTCCTGTCTGTATCCTAGGTCAGTGGATACTTCTGAATTTTAAGGCATTAAATGTAATGTGAATGCATGCCGTATGGGATGTTTATTCATAAGACAAGTTAACACTAACATGTTGAGTAGTGAATTGATACATTAAAATGGAGGTATATAAAATGGAGGTAAATAAGCAAACACACAAATAAGAATACAGTGTCTTGTGCAAGTGTTCTATGATTATGTTTTATTGTTATGTACATATGAATATGTATACATGTTTTCTCTTCGGTCTGAATTTGGAGAATTGAAACTGAACAGGATCACTTATTTCAAGGGTCTGTGTAGTGGCTTCACTTTAAAAGAGCTTTCATGTATTAGTGGAAAATAAAGATTGGGAGCTTTTCAGAGTTCTATGTTTGCAGGTTAATGGTACCTGGTTTTGATTTCTGAAAGAAGCTAAGTATGCATGTATGACATGAATCAGATTGCCCTGTGGACTAATACTAGGTTAATATGCTTGAATGCGTAAGTATACTTTACATTCATAGGCAAGATTATACTTTCCCCCTACAGATAAGTGGAAAGTGAATGGTGCAAGGGAGAATATTGAAACACTTGGTCTTATTCCATATAATAGCATAAGTGGAATCCAAGACTCCTCCCATTCTAATGATGATGCATGGAAAATTCTAGGAATTGTTTTGTCATGTGGGAATTATCTGAACACTGAACTCTTAACTGCAGGAGGATTTCTTTCTTTCAAAGACACAGGGTAATTATAGGGAAAAATAAACATTAACACATTATTAAGGATAAGAAGCAAAAAAACCTCAAGGAATCAGCTTTGAGTTTAAGGAAATAGAAATTTTGAAGATATTTCTAACATATTGTTGACATTGCACAGATGCTCAAGACTAAAGAATTTGAGGTAAATTTTAATACGAAGGTGATATTTTAAATAGTCTACAACATACTGCAACATTGAAAGAAAGAATTTATGTATTTTGTAGTTTTACACTAATAATAAGTGACACCTTTAAAATGATGGTACAACATTCAGGTTATCATCAAATGCTGAACCTTTTAGAGAAGAGAGAGAATAGGGATAGAAATGACTTAAGCTCACTTATCATTCCCTAGCAACTGGATCTTTTTAGAGCCCACAGGTTGTATTTGGTCAAACTTTGTTAGCAAACTGGGTGATCTTAAACTTTCACAATGATGGCTTATAGGTCTGTTGTTCTGTTAGATGCTTTCTTTTCCTAGTGGCTTTATCTGTAGCAATCTAAATGAAGGTAAAACATCCTAATATTGGACAGATGAAGGAGGAAGGTGGTGTTTGTTTATGGAAATAACCTGAGGGACTTACTTTCTAATTATTGAGAAATCTGAAGATAGCTGCTTAATTTGATGTCTGCTAGTTTGTTCTTACTAAGCACTTTTAACAAATAATGTCAGCAACCTGACCAAGTGAAAGTAGAGATCGGATTTCAAGAAAACAATTTCAGTTTGCTCCTGAATTTTGACTTTGGCACAGGAATGATGTGATAGGATTTTTTTTTTTTTAATTTATTATTGAAAGGCATTTATACTGCAGTTTGCTGATTCTGAAATTTATATTGATGGTATCACAAAAAGTTAGTATAACTTCTGGTATCTACTGTTCTTAGGTCATTATATTATCAAGAAAGTTCATATGGGAGTACAGACAGATGTGTTCTGCTGCTTTGTTCATAGCCTAAATAGAAATGCTTGTTAACTTTACAAGACTTTACAATGGCTACAGGACTTTATTCTTTTCGCTCCGTTATGCGTTCCAGTATTTAGATGGAACATATTCAAAGTCTGTCCAAAGAAGAGAAAGTGCATGTAAACCAAGATTAGAAAAAGTTCTTTCAGAATTGCATTTGAGACAATTTGCACATGGTATTAAATGTTATATTTTGTTTTTAATTATGTTCAGGTTTTTCTGAAGCCTTCCAATAAACTTCAGGGGCTTAAACTTTCTGATCAGATTAATTCAGTTCTGTTTTTGAAGCTACCTTTGTCTCATTCTAAGACTATGGTACATAAGCTTTCCAGATGTGGAAGATGTTACTTGTCATTCTAATACATATAGAATGTGCTCAGATACCATATCTGAGTGCTTTTAAATAAGCGTTTATTGAGCAGTAATGCAAACTTATTTGCAACCTTTGGTATAAAAATGCGGAATTTTCCATTCTTGCTCTACTTTGAATTGTTTGCCAGGAATGACCGTTTGGAAAGTATGCCTCTCAATTTCCAGACATGACATGTGGGAAAGGATTACATATACAATGTCAAATAATTTTTCTCTTGCATTATCTTTCTCAGGCACAGTTGACACTTATGTGTTAGTACGTGTGATTTTACTTTTAAACTAGTTGACTT